TGTGTGTGTGTGTGTGTGTGTGTGTGTGTGTGTGCACTGTCTGCATGTCACTTGCAATATTTCGAAATTTCTTCTTTTTTCAATTCTCTGGAAGCTGATGAATGATTCAATCCCAATACAAACCCATTTGTATTATTATCTATTTTTTAAATGACATTATGATTTCCCGCTGATTTAAGCCGATTAAAATTTGTTCAAATTTCTGATATTGCCTTTTTTTAGAAAAAAAAATTTCTTTCATAATTTTTATTTCAATTATTTGTTAGATAAATGACGCATTTGTTATTTGATAATTAAATGGGAACTGTAAGTTAGGAGAATAATTTCAAAAATTAACAGCTATTTGCGATAATTCTCTGCAAAATTCCAGCAGGAATTACTTATAACTTTTTTTTTTTGCTTTTATAATTTGAATTTTTATGCGTTTAAAAGTGAATAACTAAAGTGACAATGATCAGTAACAGTTATTGTTATTTTCAGCTGTGTAATTGAACGTCATAAAGTGACGACGAATATTCGACATCGCGGGAATGAAATATTTTTACTGTATTATATTTTTGCTCCCAATGTTTTATTGTTTCAACACCGATAACAACAAAAAACCCTTTCTGGTATATTTTTAATAAATCAAAAGACACGAAATATTTCATTCAATTTAGCCTATACAGCAAACAGCTGATATTCTGGCAGTAACTTTTTGACATTTTCAAGCTATCATTATCATTTAGATAACTGATAGGAGAGAAATATAATCTGATCTATCATTGATTGGATAGCAATAAATTGCGAGGAAATTTGTGATGTAATAACATTACAGTTTGTTAATTTTTTTTCGATTTAACAAATTTAATGCAAATCTTGATCAATAGATTGGTCAATTTCATGTCGAGTATTAAGTGATGTTATAGTTTAGCTGATAAATTTGTGTCAAATTATCCCATTTATTTTCTTTTTCTTTCTGTTAAATTAAAACAGGTATATTAGAAAGTAATTAAAAGTAAAAGATGCTTGTAACAGTAATACATTTCAGTTATCTCCAAGGGATCAACTAATGGAGCGATTAATGGAAAGTTTGCCAGGAAGAAATGATGAACATCAGGTAATTGTTTGCTTATACTATTTGCCGCATAAGACTCTTTTTGAAAAAGAAAATAATCAAAATAAAAAGAAAGCAAAAGATGGGAATTTAAAAAGGGTAGTAATCAAAAAAATTTCATCAACTATAATTTTCTTGAAATTCATTTAAAAAAAAAAAAAAAAAAAGTTCCAGATACGCAATGACAAACTAAGCGCATATATGGTGCGGAAGAGAAATAATGCGGAACTAGTGAATCATATACTGAAAACCTTAAGTGAAGTGGACGTTCTTGGCGAGGTAGGACGATGAATTACACAGGGAATCTATGGAGTAATGAAAAATAAACTATGATACGTACGATCAATATTAATACTATATGATATTTGTAGTATTCATTGGATCGTCTGTACAAAATTTAGAAATTTCCAGCTGATAAAATTTCAGAATAAAGATTTATCAAAAAAAAGTGTTACTGTAAAAGTGGAATCTAGCATGATATTACGAAGTATTGTGACATTCTGATACAATTATCCAAACAGTGAAGATCTTGGAAGATCAAACTCAAAATTTCCCATTACAATTACAATAATTCAGCAAGTACTTGTCTATCAGTGATCTTGCTGAGAGTGGCTTCGGATTCTTTTCATCAACGCAATATGTTTTACGCAATCACATCAAATAAACCGTTTATTTTAATTACAAGTGCACAACAAAATTTAGAGCATATTGAAAAAAAAAAACATTAAACGCTTGAACGCAATTGATTCCGTAATTCGATTACTTTACGTCGGTCATCAGGAGGAAGCAAAGCAATCTGCTCTTCGCTTAATTGTAATACCTAAATTTTTTTGAAAATCATAAAAAAAAAGTAAAATTTGTCTGGACTTCTGGAAGAATAAGGAAAAAGGAAAGAACTTCAGAAAGTGTATCTTTTGCAATGAAATACTGGAAGGGAAAGCATCTAATTTACACATATAATTCTTTAAATTGTTAACGATACTAAAGATTTTACAAAGACAAAGAGAATTCGTGCATAAAAAAGTACTTCAAAATGAAAAAACAGCAAAAAGAAAAAAACATACCTGCATCAACAGCTGAGCTTGCTGCTGATCATCAGGGCTAAGTTCGGAGTCGGCTTCTTGTGGGGAAGGAGCACGCGTAACTGTAGATCCTGAAGGAGCTCTAGGAAAATTAACAGGTACTGATGAAACTGCTGAAGGCGATATTTGAGGTATTGCTCCGGGAAATATTGGTTGTGGCATATTGGGCACTGTCGACATTGATACTGGCACCGATGTATCTATAACTTTATAGTCATAAAATCCAAATACTCCGAATAAGAAAACAAAATAAAGAATAACTCTGACCTGGATATGCCTGCTGTTGTTGTTGTTGTTGGTGAAATGGTTGTGAAATCGCAGGCGTTTCACGATGAAGCATAGCAATGGCTACTTGTGGATCAATGATTCGCATAACTACTTGCGCCTGGAAGATCGAATCTTTATAGATTATCCAAAATAGGTTCGGAAAAAACATGCTTTAATTATAGCATGTTAAAATAAGCAATAAAAGTTGTCGCCAGAGATGATGTTAATTAATGTCCACTAATGAATTACTGTGAAGTATATTATGAAAAAAAAATAACGTTCTTGCTTGATTATTTTTTATAAACACTGCACAAACATGTAGTTTATTATTAGAAGATATTCCAGGATAAAGCTCAAATTCCTAGAGAAGATTACAATTCAATCCTAGTCACCTAGCCAAGTAGTCGCTAGATTATGAGTAGTCTCTGCTTCTTCGTCCTTGATTTTCTTAAATATTTCCCGCACTAATAAGGACTTTGCAATGCAATAAACATTACGCATACCAAAAGATTATATTTCAAATACAATAACAAAAGTAAGATCAATCAAACCTGTAGAAGAGCATATGCAAGTTGTGGATTATTCATGAGCAAATTCTTGGCTTCATTCGGATTGTTATGAACACATTGCTTCATTTGTTTCATTAATTCAAACATTTGTTCCGGTGGTAGGGACGCTACCGATCGCGAAATGGCTTCCGGTGCTTTCTCAGCCTCAGTCGCTGGACCATATGGACTTTCCTGTGCTTGCTGCTGTAAATACTGAAACAAATAGAGAGTTATAGCTAGAAAAAAGGATTTTTTATAATCGGAAAACACAAAGAACCACCGCTGTTTTCCTAATGAGCCAAATCGACATGTAAACATAACGCAACCTCTTGCTGTTGAGCAGCAAATGCTGCTTGTAACTGTTGAACTTCATCAGCACTACGATCACCACCAGCTGCTGAATCAACTCGTAATGGACGTCCATTAAGTTCAAAGCCATTAAGATTCCTGAAGCAAAAGTTGGATTTGCAAATGAATAAGAGTTCCTTGAGATAATCTTTACATTTTTTGAATTCCTTTCCATTATGATTCCTCAATGTTATAGAATATAGTGGGTACAATGGACAAACGTTACTTTCTAAAGAGATCAACCCCGAAAGAGACAAAATCAGAAAAATATCCATGTTTGAGATACTTATCAAAAAAAACGAGCAACTTTTCGACGTGGAATAAGTTGTGAATAAAAAAGATTTATAAGAAAGAATTCAATATTATTTATTTGGATTTACACTCTCCAAGTTCTAAAAACGTTTTAATCAGAACTATAATACCTGATTGCACTTTCGGCAGTTTGCGCGTCATTATATTCGCAAAACCCATAACCTTTCGGCTTACCTGTATCTCGATCATGAACTAGCCGCAGATGAACAACTGCCCCGACCTGCAAAATGCACAATCATTAATAAGAATGAATCAACATGATGTGAAGACAGCTCATCTAAAACAATTTTCAAAATTTCAGGAGGGTATCTGCTATGGTGAATTATTGTTTAAAAAGGGAACACAAGAGTTTTTCGAATTATCAAGACCTCTGAAAATCCACAATGATTAAACTACGAGATCAGTTATAGATAGTACTTTGAAAATGACGCATCAAGAGTTAGCATCATTCAGCTCATCGTAACTACTCTGCTAATGTCAAGAAGAACAAGAAAAAACGAATTGTGGGAAATAAAAACGGTTTAGAATGCTTCACTATGGGTTTTTTTTTTCATCAACATCAGTTAAATTTCATTAACATCAGTTAAATTAGAAAAAAAATTAAAATTACAAATTGAAAGCAGTAAAGTACCTAAAGACATGAGCCATGTATAAATGACAAGTTTAAAAATATGAATACGGGAGTTTTCGGAAGTAAAATTTATATATATACTGCAACTAATGAATTACTGGTGCTAACCTGAGCAAATACTTGCTTTAGCTGTTCCTCGCCCACTTCATAAGAAATATTACCAACTAAAAAAAACAAACAGTTAACAGTAAATAACAAGAGAAAGCTTTTCAACATCTGTTCGTAAATTTTTGTCTATTATATTCATTAACTAAACGATACCGGTATGTCTGCAAATAGCGAATAGATCGCTTTTTGTTTTTTTTTTTGCTCTGTCCTTTCACGCAGATAAAAGAAATCAACAAAAAGAAAAGCTGATATAATTTATTCATCAAATTTCAACGAGGAAAAACAAACCAAAAACAGATCTCGCTGATCGATCAGTTGCAGAAGATGCTGCTTTTGCTGTGCCTGTTACAGCGTTATCACGTTCACGATATGACATTAAGTAGGTTGAAAACGTTCACAGACGTGAAAC